CAAGCGGGATTGGCCTAGGGGGGGATTTTATAGGGATTTTAAAGGGATTTTATAATATTAAACTTAATACAGGTTATTTAATATATATTTTAATTTGGCTTTTAGAGATATCTATTGTATTGTACTGTTTTTATTTACCTGTAAGCCGCCCTGAGTCCCTCGGGAGAAGGGCGGGGTATAAATGGGATTAAATAAATAATAAATAAATAAATAAATAAATAAAATTCCCATTTTCCCCACCAATTCTGGGCTAATCATACAACGGGTGCACCCCAAGTCCAGTAAGGCTGCTAATTTCACTGTCCTCCCAGTGCCTGGTATGAATAGTTCTAGGAGCACTGTAATGGGGTCTATTGGTGCACTCACCAAAGGGTTGTCCTCATAGTCATATTCCGCTGCTCTTGGATCGTCATGGTGTGGACCCGGAGCTCGACCCTCTCGATTGCGATCCCAGGGGAGCTCTATGGTTTCCTCGGACCTCATAGCAATCTCCCTTGGGTGTGATGGGGTTCTTGGAGGTCTCCCGGCTGGCAGATGATCTCCTCTTTTGGCAGGTGTCTTGCCATGGCTCGATGTCCTTCCTTGTCACATTTGAAGCAGGCAGTGCTGCGAGGCGGGGCAGGTGAATATCGGGCGGTCTTCCCTCGCTTCTCGGTCTGTGGCTTGAAGCTTGATCTCACCGGCCAGTGCTAATGCTTGCATTGATTGATCTCCACTTTCTCAGCTAGCAGGTACCAGTCGTACAGCCGTCCCGGGGCTCCACGGGCTCTGCAGGCATTGTACAGCTCTTGATTGAGTCCATCCTGGAAACAGCTTACCAGGATGTCCTCTGGCCAGCCCAGGCGACTGGCCAACTCTCTGAACTCCTTGGTATACTCAGCAACTGGTCTTCTCCCTTGCTTCACTGTCTTAATCCGTTCCCGGGCTTTCTTATCGGTCTTCAAAGCGTCTGCGGAGGGCAGCCATAAAATTGAAATTTCTCAATTCGGGTGCATTACAATTATACAGGGTCACTATCCAGTCAGCTGCTCTACCTTCTAGCGCCAGAGTGACCACTGGAACTTTCTCGACATCAGTAGGCAGTGTTCTCTCATAGATTTGCATGTAGATGAACACTTGTGCCAGGAAATAACCCAGTCGCTTCGGGTCTCCATTAAACCTCACCCCGATAGGGATAAATTTCACCTCGACTGGCTGAGGTGCTCTGCCTCTGGCACCTTGAGATGGATGGTCTCGCCGCTGTGCTGCCTCTTGGGCTCCAGCCGCTGCCATCTCGCGAACCTCTGGCTCATCCTCCTCTGATTCCTTCTCCGACTCTTCTTCAGATTCATGGCTTTCTTTCAACTACATCTTAAATTCATCGAGGGTCTTTTTCACCTACTCCATCACAGCTTCCATTGACCCCGCTTTTGGCTCATCTTTCTCTCCGTCTTTATCAGGAGAGGCAGGCTTTGGATTCTTTTTCTTTGCCTTCTTTTTTCCTCCTCCTCGGGTCAGGGTAACTTTTGGGGGTTTTTCTTCCCATCCTTCCTTCTTGCCGACCCCAAGTGACCATCTGGCTCGGTCTTCTTCACCAGAAGATCCAGCTTCCTCCAGGTCCCTCGAGAGGCTTTCATCTGCTTTTAGGCAGAGGAGATCTTCAGACCATTTCTCTGCCTAGAACTCCTCCAGGTAGATTTTGTTTGTGACTTCCCCAGTAGGGCAGCAGCTTCTCCGGGCTGAATACTATGCAGACCTTGCCTTATGTAAGGACCCACTTCAACTAACCACCCAAGAAAGCAGAACTCTTGAAACAGGCATTGTCTCAAAAGGATACTTTTATTAGGGGTCAGTGACAGTAGGAAAGTCAAGGTGAGATCTGGAGAAAAGCCCACTGAAACGGTATAGTTAAGCAAGCAATATTCCTCCTCTCACCAAAGTCATAATGTCCATTTGAAATCCAGCCAATCCACAGGTGGTCTGAAGAGCGGGTAACTGGCACAGATGGCGTGCATCTCAAATGTATATTTAAAAGATAAATAGATATACAGAAATAAGGGGAAAAGTGTTAATATTATATTATAAATAGTGAGCAAAGCTCAAGAACTATATGTCTACAGTATATGAGTACTAATACTACTGTAAAATGTCGGAAGATGTATGGAACCAGTGACGTCATATCTATGTCCAATGTGTTTTTAATTTTGTATTATTAAAAAAAAAAAATTAAAAAAAGAGTGGGTAATTGGCACAGTTGGCGTGCATCTTAAGGTCTTCTCTGGTTTTGTTTCTTTGCAACCCTCTCCATGATAAGGGAGACACATTCCTTTCTCAAAAGGATGGAGGCAGCAGGAGAGAGTAGAAAGCAAAAGTTATCCCAAGCTAATGCAAAGCTCCCCCTCCCCCCAACAGAATGGCAGGCCTGAAAAGTAGAGTATATATATATGCAAGGTAAAGAATAGGGTTTTGGGGGCCTGACAATAATTGTATGAACACAATTTATTCAGTTTAGATCTCACTTTTCCTTTAGGAGCTCAAGGCAATATGCATAATATTTAAAACGTATGAAGTAGTTGAGATCAACCAGTGAGTTCTATGATTGAATACAAACTTGAAAACAATTCTCTGAGGTCCTTGTCCAACATTTTAAACATTACTTGCATATTTTAAAAAACAGCAATCATATATCAATTAACAATTCTTGGGATTCATTCACTTATTCAGTTTAGTTGATACTTCCTGGCCAAGAATCTATATCATCTATATCTATGTTATATATATTTATATCTATATCATGTATATATATTTATTCCTTCTCTTCCTCCCCCATATAAAGGAATAAATGTTCGCAATGCAGAAGCCTTTGCATCCATGGAAATTCCTAATGCCTTGAACATCCTAATTTTTCAGTCTTTTTAGCAATAACTATCAATATTTTTCTAATGTATAAACAAACAACATGGATCATTGTTAGTTCTTCTTTCAAAGGAGGAGGAAGAGGAGGAGGAGAGGAGAAGATGATCATTCAATCAGAAACCATGATTACCTAGGAGACAATTTATATCCATGTTGCAAGTATGTGCCGAGTGATCCTGTTGCAGCAAGTAAAAGGCCAAGGTATGCAGGTGAAGGCTTCATAGGTCTGGAAGAGAACTCAGGATGAAACTGAACACCGATGAAATATGGGTGATCTAAAGACACATAATACAGACAAACTGAAGAAGTTAGTAACATAGTATAAAAACTAAAATTCTTTAATATAAAACAATAATTGTTTCAATTATTAAACTATTAATAATGATAAAATCATGAATAATTATTAATAAATAATTCAATTCTGATTTTTATACAAATGTATGTGGATTGTGCTATTTGGTGATATAACCAAGAAAATTTATACCTTACTATATTCAGATAGCCTTCGACTTATGACCACAATTGAGACTGGAACTTCTGTTGCTAAACAATGTGATTGTTAACTAAATTGTACTTGATTTTAGGACCATTTTTGCCACACTCATTAAATGAATCATTATAGTCATTAAGCAAATTATACTGTCATTAAGCGAATCCAGCTTCCCCCATTGACTTTGCTTGCCAGAAACCCCCTGGAAAGGTCATAAATGGCGATCACGTGATTCTGAGATGCTGCAACCATTGTAATATATATGCCAGTTGTCAAGTGCCCAAATTTTGATCTTGTGACCACAAGGACACTGCAACTGTTATAAGTATGAGGACCAGTTGTAAGTTACTTTTTTCAGCACCATCATAACTTTGAATGGTCATTAAAGAAATGCTTGTAAGCTGAGGACTATCTGTAAACATAATGATTCTTATTTTCCATAGAGTGGAGGTGAGGCTGAATTTTATAGTTTAGGCTGATGTCAGGGAATGGTAGCTATTCTTAGTTGGATAACAATGTTTAGTTCAGTACAGGTTCTCATATATAATTTTGGCATTCTTAATGATTATCATGGCAGAGAAGCCTCTTAAAAATCCATTTGATTTTTTGGTCCTAGACTGCCAGCTCCCATCCTACTATATTCAGTCTCTAAATGTTTCAGTTTGATGGGAAATGCCACTTTTTGAACAGTTTCCCAGTAATGCACAAGAAAATGTGTCTAATATTGGTAAATGTGGCATTCCCAGCCATTACAAAATAAATGGTTTGAGTTAATAGTTCACACTAGACATCAAGATAGATAGAACTAACGAAGCCAGGAATCTACATCTGTTTCATACAGTTGTCCAGATTCTACTTGAATATATTCAGTAAAAAGAGTTCATCACGTATCTTGATAATCTGATATCCTGTAAACCGCTCTTACTAGTTTATGCCCTTCCTAACATTCAAGTAGAAATGGCGTTCTAGGTTCATTTTGCTGCTTTATGCTTATTTCTAATCATTCTTAATTATTTAATAATGAAGTAAAATAAATTCCTAGATTGTTTTTAAGATGCTTAAAAATCACCTGTTTTATAACATAATCTAGAATCATCCAGATATCAATTTCAAGCTCACTATTCAGTTTGTCTTTTTTAAAAATAAAATAAAATAAAATAAGAACATCTGTCCTATTCCAGTCATCTGGAACTTCACAAATCTTCAAAATTTACCAAGGATGACAAATACAGCAAATAGCTTAGAAGGGCAATCCTTCTAGTCCTGGAGATTGAAACTTGACAAGTTATCTTATTTCACTTTCTGAAATTGTTAACTACCTTATCATATTGTGGGAATACTGAAAAAGTAATACATCTCGAAAAGCATTTGAAAAAGTCATCCATTATTTGATTAGCAAGTTTATTTATCTCCTATGCAGATCTATAGCTGACTTACACCCATACACCCATAAGTGCTCATTAACAGCTTCTTTTTAAACTGAAGTGGCATCTCCTATGAGATTCCACAAGTTTTGATCCTATTGTTCAACAGTTGTATTAATGACTTAGTTGAAGAGATAGGGAAAATGCTTATTAAATATGCATATGCATATTCTGCCTAGAAGGCAGAAATAAAACAATTCTGAAAAATAAGCAAAGTTTCCTAAAAAAATAAGATGAAATTTAATTAAGATAAATGCAAATGTTTACACTTAAAAAACAGAAAACTTGTACACTATCATAGGATGGGTATGCATGGCTTTATAATAATTACATGTACAACAGATTTTGGAATTGTGGTTACTCACAAGCAAAATACCTGTCAACAGGATAATGTGTTTACAAAAAAAGACCAATATAATTTTAGGGTCCATCACTGACAGTTTATTTTACCAGACTATGGAAACAATAGTTCTGCTCTATTCTATATTGATTAGACCCAACCTCAAGTCCTGTGCAGTTTTGGGCACAGTATTTTAAGAAAAGCCCAGGGAAACTGGAATAGATTCAGGAAAAAAAATCAACAACAATGATCAAGGAACTAAAAAGAACTAGTTACTTACCTGTAATTAAAGTTCTTTAAGTGGTCAAATTCATACGTGAGAATTAAGTGCACATACTATGCTCAAGAGCAGGAAGCACAGAAACCAAGATGTAAGATCCTGCCTCAACTACTCCTCCCAAGAAAGCAGAACTCTTGAAACAGGCATTGTTTCAAAAGGAACTTTTGAGAGTTAGTGATAGCAAGAGAGCAAAGCAAGATCTAAAATTTTCCCGCATGAATTGCTATATTAAAACTTTCATTTCACAAAACCCCACCCCAGAGTCCAACTATCCAGTTCGCGTCCAGCCAATCCACAAGTGTGAAGTTGTTAAGGGACAGTTCCCAGGCGCTTCACTAGATCTTGCAACGAAGTGGAGATAAGGCATATGGCCCCTGGCATATTCCATTCCCCTTTTCCACACCCAAAGAGATACATCAAAGTTGAGGAAGAACAAAGTAGAGGAAATACTTCTACAAGCCCCCCTCCCAGCACAGAAAAGCCTCCCTCCTCCTTTTAGAACGGCAGAGCCCTGAAAAGAAACATTGAAGGGGTTTCTGACAAAAGATTAAGTTAATCTGGTTTCTAATCCCATTAAAGTTCTTCAAATGATCATCTCTGAGTTCACATATGCAGGTACAGGAACATAATATATATGAAGTAATTATGAAAAGTAACTACATTTAGCATTCAGAAAAGGCCAATTTTAGGTGAATGTCAGGAATAACTATCTTACATTAAGAACAATTTGACAAAGACATCAATTAACAAAAAATGTTATGGGTTTCCTTCATTTAAGCATTCAAGCACTGGATACATATTAAAAGATCAGTTTGATCTCAGACATACCTTAGAAGTCTACAATAGAACTGTAGATCAGGATGATCACTGGCATTATTTTAGGGATACAGAAATAGTTTTTTTGTGCCAAATTTTATAGTACACATTTTCATAGTTAGATAAATGTACCTCTTTATTTTCACAGAAAGCTCATGCTAGGTCTCCTTAATAGTTCTATTTTTAATGTGCAACCAATAGCATCCCTAAAATTTCAAGATCTAACAAATGACAGCATTGACTTTTGTAGATTCACCATTTCTCCATGTTTTACAGTAACATTAATTACACATCATCTTTCATATGCAAGGTGTTGCCAGAAGCCAAAGTCCTTACCATCCAGTTCAATTATCTCCATTCTCTTTCCTTCTGTGTCATGCCCAACAAACTTCAAGCCTTTATCTTCAAAGAAGTGAATCAATTCAGGATTTACCTGAAATGGGGGAAAGCAAAGAGGTAAAAGAGAAAAAGATTTCTCAGTACTGTCATACTGGTGAAAATTTATGCCCAGATCAGGTTCTGCACTGGCAGTTCAGAGTTTCTACTTATTTTTTGCATAAACATTCAGGGCCATTGTATAGACAACCATTGCCAAACTCAAAAGGATTGAGGGCTTGTGAGCATTGTCCCCATATACAAAATTTTAAAAAAAAAAGGGGGGGGTGATCCTGCCAGTTGTAGATCAATTAGCCTGCTCAACACAATCAGCAAACTCTATGCAAGACACCTACGATGGAAATTCTAGGACTGTCTGGTACAAGAAAATTTGGAGGAGCAGACTGGCTTTAGGGAAGGCCAGTCCATTGTAGATCAGTGTCTAGTACTCCATTATCTCATTAAAAAATACTCCTCATGCAATACAAGCTTTCATAGATTTTAAAGTAGCATTTAATTCTATACCCTGAAAAAATGTGGAAAAAAATGGAGGATGAATCCTTGACTGACATGTACTTTATTTTATATGCATGCTTCATGAAGGGATATCACTCAAAGTAAGTTGTAATCCCCAGTACCATCTCACTACTGCCATCGAAACCAAGAAAGCATCAAGCAAGGATGTATATTGTCCTCACAATTATTTAATTTCTATATCAGCTCCATGGTGGGCCTTCTCCTCAACACAAATTTTCATCCACAAAACTTTCTAGAAGACATAATATCTCTGTTCTACTCTATACTCCATGTCTATTCAAACAATACAGCAACACTTTCAAGAACACCGATTGGCCTTAAAAGAGCAGTGAAAGCACTTAGCACAGTATTACAGGGAAGACCAACTAGTACTCAATTATCAGAAAACCAAAATCATAGAATTTGCCAAAATCTCTGGAGGGCTCGGGATAGAGGCTGCTCCTCTATCCTGGTCCTGTTAGATCTCTCAGCGGCTTTCGATACCATCGACCATGGTATCTTGTTGCACCGGTTAGAGGGGTTGGGTTTGGGGGGCACCGTCTTACGGTGGTTCTCCTCCTACCTCTCAGACCGGTCGCAATTTGTGTTGGCAGGGGGGCAGAGGTCGACCTCGAGATGCCTCACTTGTGGGGTACCGCAGGGGTCGGTCCTCTTGCCTCTCCTGTTCAACATCTATATGAAGCCACTGGGTGAGATCATCCGTGGTTTCGGGGTGGAGTTTCATCAGTACGCAGATGACACCCAGTTGTACATCTCCACCCCGGACCACCCCAACGATGCCGCGGAAGTGATGTCCCGGTGCCTGGAGGCCGTGCGAGTCTGGATGGGGAGGAACAGGCTTCAACTCAACCCGTCCAAGACCGAGTGGCTGTGGTTTCAGGCGCCACGACATAGCCAGTTGGCTCCATCCCTGGCTATCGGGGGCGAGTCATTAGCTCCCGCAGAGAGGGCCCGCAACTTGGGCATCCTCCTGGATACTCGGCTGTCTTTAGACGACCATATGACAGCCGTGGCCAGGGGGGCTTTTCATCAGGTTCGCCTGATACGCCAGTTGCGCCCCTTTCTGGATCGGGACGCTCTACGCACGGTCACTCAAGCCCTCGTTGTTTCCCGCCTGGACTATTGCAATGCTCTTTACATGGGGCTCCCCTTGAGGTGCACCTGGAGGCTCCAGCTAGTTCAGAATGCGGCCGCGCGGGGGATCCTGGGGGCCTCTAGATACTCCCATGTAACACCTCTCCTGCGCGAGCTGCACTGGCTGCCTGTGGCCTTCCGGGTGCGCTTCAAGGTGTTAGTAACAACCTTTAAAGCGCTCCATGGAAATGGACCTAGTTATTTGCAAGACCGCCTCCTACCAAACACCTCCCTTCGACCAGTCCGCTCCCACAGAGAGGGCCTCCTTAGGGTGCCGTCGGCCAGACAATGCCGGCTGGNTGTGGTTTTTAGTATCGCCTGTTCACCGCCCTGAGTCCCGTAAGGGAGATAGGGCGGTATATAAATTCAATAAATAAATAAATAAATAAATAAAAGGTCCAAGAGACACTCCTGGAGAACAAATGGCCATAAGATTGTGGCTGGTGGCAAGTGCCATCTATAAAACATTTTATATAAGATTGCAATTATTTTTTCTGCAGTCCTAACTATCTGTTAAAGTCTGTGTGTGTCTTGTTTGGTTGCTGTGCCAAACCAGACAGTTATAGAGGTACAAATGACAGACTCAATAATTCCTTTGTAGAACTGTATCAGTAGCTACTTGGGCAATCTGAGCTTTCTGAGTTGGTGCAGGAAGAATATACTTTGTTGTGTTTTTCTGATGATGTTTTTGATGTTAGGTATCCATTTTAAGTCCTGAGATATTATAGAACCTAGAAACTTGAAGGTATCTACTGATGATACTGTATTGTCTAGTATTGTAAGATGTGGTAGAATAGGAGGGCTTCTCCTAAAATGTACTATCATCTCTACAGTTTTGAGTGTGTTTAGTTCAAGATTGTTCTGGCCGCACCAAAGAGTCAGTTGTTCAACTTCTTGTCTGCATGCAGATTCAGTCGTCTCGAATGAGACCAATCACTGTTGTATCATCTGCAAACTTCAGTACTTTAACAGAGGGATCCTTTGAATACAGTCGTTGGTATAGAGAAAAGAGTAATGGAGAGCACAGAACCCTGGGGGCACCTGTGCTAATTGTACAGGTATCTGATATGATTTTGCCTCGCTTCACCTGTTACTTACTATCTGTTAGAAAGCTTATGATCCACTTACAAGTGGGGTCAGGCACAGCTAGCTGAGTCAGTTTAGTGAGAAGAATATCTGAAATGATGGTATTGAATGCTGAACTGAAGTCTACAAAAAGGACCTTTGCAAAGGTTCTTGTAAATTCAACATGTTGTGAGATGTAGTACAGTTCCATATTAACAGCTTCATCTGCTGATCTATTTGCTTAGTAGGCAAATTGCAAAATTAAAAATCTCATCATTGGGCTTCTCTCCAGGTTTTCTACTCAGCATGGGATATTGTCAGGTCCCTCTGGAACGCTGCCATAAGGAAGGGAAGGGGGAGCATACTGGGGTGTGGATTGAGGATGTTTCTGTATTGCTAACATTTGTTTCTACTTCCTCTTTGATGTGTCTGCATGGGAATTTGGGAGGAGGGAATACCCTCAGGGCCATCTGTTTTCACTCCTACTGACTGGCAAGAATGAGGCACCAGGAAGTGCCAGTTATCACCTTTTCGGCTCCAAGTTCTCACAACACCTTCACACCAGTGGATTGGCTCCTGATCGACTGGGGCATTGCGGTGGGGCTGAAGAATGGGACTTTTAGCTTAACACTTTTGCGCGGGAACTTCAGATTCTGCCTTTTTTACTCTGCCTTTTTTACTCTGCAATCACTTTCTCTCATTAAAGATCTTCTTTGAAACAATGCCTGTTTCCTGAGTTATGCTTTCCTGTGGGAATAGCTGAGGCAGGTCCTTATATTAGGCGGAATCTGCAAAGTGGTCAACCCGGAGAGACACCTGCCCTACTGTGGGGACTGTGCAAGAGATGTCTCATCAAGACAACAATCAAGAAGAAACAGAGTGCTGGGAGGAGGACGATGCCATCCCAGCGAAAACCCCATCAAAGAGCTGGAGGAAGCTGCCAGCCTGGAGGGCTCCTCAAAACCAAGGTGGTCCATTGGCGTGGGGAAGAAGTAAGACTGGGAGAGGAAGACGAAGGGAGTCATCCTCACCCGAGGCAGTCACCAGCATGGATGGAGGAGACAGCTAGAGGCCCTTTACAATGATGACAAAGAACCTAATCTTGCAGACGTCCTAATGAATCAAGCGATGCATTTCCTGATGGAAGCGTTCCAAGACCTAAAAGTGAGGGGAACTCGAACCAGAGCAATGAGAGATGATGACCGACAAGACCAGACAGCAAATGGGGAGAGGAAAGCCTCTCCCCTGAGCACCACAGTAGGCATGGGCAAAACTTCAGTGGAGTAGCACCTGCCACCGTGGTAACTGCAATGCCCAGGAGCCCCGGAGGGGCAATCACTACTGCTAGGTGGGTGGTAACCCTCTACAACAGGGGTGTCAAACTCAATTTCACTGAGGGCCACATCAGGGTTGTGGTTGACCTCGGGTGGCAGGGTGGGCATGGTCAGGGTGGGTGTGGTCAAGGTGGGCGTGGCCAGCTCAACATCGCTTGTGTTGGGCACCTGTGTGTTCTGGGTGGGGCTGGGGGGATCCAGCCTGGTCCTCGAGCTCCCAGGGCACTGGGACCCCACAGCCCAGCCCAGCCCTGCTATCCCAAGAGGGCGCCCTGCTGCGCTTATCTCCTCCTCGAAGCTGCTGCTGCTGTTCTTGCTCTCCTTGGCCAGGTTGCTCATGATGTGTGTGGGAGGGCAAAGTATGTGGGTCAGAGGGAGGCGCACTGTCTCTCCATATGAGGAAACCTGGCTTTGTAACTAAAGTATCCTCAGCAATAGGATGGGAGACCACCAAGAGAGATCAGGAGGAGGAGACAAGAGGATGGCAAAAGGGCAGCAGGGTAGCTGGTGGCCAAATGCTAAGACAGCACTTCCTTCAGACCCTCCCTCTCTCTCATTGTAATCCCCTTCCTCCCTCCCTTCCTTTCTTCTTCACTTTTCTTCTTTTTCCTTCCCTCTTTATTCTTTCTGCCTTCTTCCTTCCCCCTCTTTCCTTCTTTTTCCTTCCTTACTCTCTTCCCCTCTTTCCTTCTTTTTTCTTTGTCTTTCCTCTTTCCTTTCTCCTTTCCTGTCCCTTCTTGGATGCTCAAATGCAAAAGGGGGAACATTTCTTGATGCCTTCTTGCCTTGTGATCAAATGCCACTTTTGCTAGTAGTTTGTGGCCACTTAAAAGATGGAGAACAAACCAGGCTCAGTTTATCCCATGCTTGCATTTAGTGGGGGTGTCCAGAGACAACAGTACAGCAAAACTGTCAAAATGGTGGCTGTGATAGTTAATCAGAGCTCATCTGTTTTTTATGTGCAACAGCTTTAGCTTTTATGAGCAGA